AAATGCGCTTCATCAAAAATGTAAGAATTAAATTCTTTTACTTAAAAAAAAAAAAAAAAAACATTTCGTGATTTTAGTTTTACATAAAAAAAAATGGCAAACTGGGGAGAATTTTTTACCAGATCCATTGGCAATCTCTCTAAGCGCTTGTCATTGGACTCTAAAAATGAAGAAGACGATGCACTAACTACCAAAACTTCTGTGACTACTGACCCCGATGGTAAGACTACCACTACCGTAACAACTACAAAAACTATTACAGAAAATGGTAGGATTACGAGTTTTTTTTTTTTCATATTAAATATTATTTTAATTCTTTGTACTTGAATGGCAGGTAAACCTATCACAGTAGTCACTACCAAGTCTTATGTTGGAGAAAATCCTCCGTCACATCCTACAAAGCACACTGAAGAAGAAAATACCAAATCTAAAATTGCTCCTGTAAGGCATGCCGAAGAAGAAACTACCAAAGCTAAGCTTCCTCCTCCTGTTAAGAAGCCCGAAGAAGAAACTGTTAAAACTAAACTTCCTCCAGGCAAGCCCGAAGAAAAAACAAAAGAAGCAAAACATCCTTCTCCTCCCGTCAAGAAGCACGAAGGGCCGGATGTCGACGAAGAAACCCATCACGGTACTAGGCATGATCCGGCAAGGTTTGTACTGATTTGTAATTTTTTTTCTTTATTTTGGAATATTTCGGGTAACATTTCTTTAATTTAGTAAATGCGCGGCTCTTGTGGTAGGCGGCGAGTTCAAAGAACATCTTGACCTTATCGGTAATTATTGACCGATTAATGATTTGTGGGGAATTTTATCATATCTTGTAATAGATCCTCCTGCATCATTGCCTTAAACTTTATGTAACTAATTGTTACACGTAACATACTTCTATTTTAGGTCATGACTTTTCAAAGGTTGACGCCTACTCACGTGCTACGCCTGAATCCGAAACTGGTTCTGTAGAACGTTTGTCAAAGTATCTTACTTCACGATGGAACGATCCTTTAGATAAATTACGTTCAATTTTTGTTTGGATCGCGGAGAATATCTTATATGATACCGAGGCACTCTTTTCTGGTATAATTTAAATTCTTTCATGAATGTAATATAATGTATTTTCTTATTAAAATTTATTTTACTATATTAGGAAACTTAAAACATTGTACTGCCGAAGAGACTTTGAGAAAACGTAAATCTGTTTGTGATGGATACTCTGAATTGTTCTCTAAATTAGCTGAGCTTGCTGGATTGAATGTCTGGATTATTCGAGGAAAAGCCAAAGGTTCGTTTTTGATAGTGACTTTGTAATCTTCATTCTTTGGTCTAATCACGTGATATGACACACTAGGAATGTCATATAAACACGGCGCTAATCTCGATAGTAAGGAATTTAACCACGCATGGAATGGAACTGTATACAAAGGAGAATTCCTTCTTATCGACAATACTTGGGGTGCCGGCAACGTAAATGGCTCGAAATTTGAAAAACGCTTTGAACCATTTTATTTCCTTGTACGTCCAACCCGATTCATCTACACTCATTTTCCTAATGATCCAAAAGAACAATATGTGTCTCCTCAACTTACTAAAGAAGAATTCATTAATTTGACCAATGTTAAACCGCCATTCTTTGCTGCTGAATTGGAATTTCGTGAACATCTTGGAAATATTATCACTACCAATGATGACTTGATTGATTTTGAAATTGCAAGATTCCATCCTGATGAAGGGCAACCGTTACATGCCGTACTTGAATGGAATGGTAAAGAGGTTGAAGTTTTGATTCAGAGGGTGGTTGGATATGATCCAAGTTCAGGAAAAATATTTAGACTACAAGCTTCATGTCCAAGCCGTGGTGAAGGAAAACTTGAAATATTTGTGATGTTTGAAGGTAACAAGGTAAGATAATTTTTTTATATTTTGTTTAAATTCTTATAATTTATCATCTTCAACTTATCCTTCTTTCATTTATAGGGTCCATTAGCTGCATCTTTCAAAGTCATAAACAAAGGAAGCGGCAAAAATCATAGTCCATTTGTCAAGACCTACAGGGTTCCATTCAAATTTACTCTCAATAAGCCAATACACTTAAACTTAAAATTCAATAAAGAATATAAATTTGAATTTTCTGTGTTTGATTTGAAAGAGGAAAAGCATCCTGAATTCTATTTGTTTCCTCCGGGGAAAGATATCCGAAAACTTCATAAAGTATCAAGATGTGAAGATGGAAGTTTTACTTATGAACTTGAAACTAAGGTTGATCAAAATGGAGATTGGAAATTGGTATTTTCTTCGAATGGAAAGAATTTTGACTTTATTGCGATGTACCATGTTGATTAATTTTCTTTGTATACTATATTCTGTAAAATAATGAACGATATTTGTTTTATTACTTTATTATCTTTTAAAATAGTGAATGATATTTATTTTATTTATTTATCTTGTATAATTTATTATTCGTATTATTTATTTTATTATCTTTTAAAATAGTGAATGATATTTATATTTATTTATCTTGTAAAATTTATTATTCGTATTATTTATTAAGTGTAATTATTTGTCTTTATCTGAAAAAAATCGATATTTCTTAGCGGAATTCGAAATAAAGATTATCATGTATAGTTGTTATCATATCTGATATTGGTTTTTTTATGTTTACGCATTTAGCTTTATCATTTAGCTTTTATCATTAATGAAAAATTGCCAATATAACTGTATTAAAGGAAATTGAACTATTCAAAATTAGAATAATGATTTATTTCCGTTTTTGGATTTTAGATTTCTATGTTAAAAAACTCCGATTGTAAAAAAACTCCGATGATGATAAGCGTGTAGATCCTTGGGAAAACTTATAAAATGATACCTTTGGTTCATTGATTTTCTTCATCTTTATTTTTTTAATAATTTTTATAAAATTACTTTTTAATCATGTCAACAAGAAAAGGTCCAGGGATAAGAATAAGTATCGATAGGGGAGGTACGTTTACCGATTGTATTGGTATGGTCCCTGTTCCAGTTTCTGAAGAATATCCGACGGGAAGACGAGATATCGTTGTAAAGCTTTTAAGTGTTGATCCTCAAAACTACCCCGATGCTCCTCGAGAAGGTATTAGAAGAATATTAGAAATTGCCACTGGAAAACCTCACCCAAGAAATAAATTAGTGGATACCTCTCTTTTAGGTATCGTATCGTGTAAATGATAATGTTAAAGAAACTTGTAAAATATTTAGTATTAGAACATACTTCCTGAAATTTTTAAATAAAAACTGAATTATCCTATTTTAGAGTCAATTCGAATGGGAACGACTGTTGCTACCAATGCTCTATTAGAAAGGAAAGGAGAAAAATGTGCACTTCTCATTACTAAAGGTTTTAAGGTATGAAATATGATCGATTTACTTTTTTCTGATTTTTGACAAACTATGTAGATCAAAAATAATAAAGTACTAAACTTGGTTACTTTTAAACGCGTTTATTTTTAGGATTTATTATTAATTGGTATTAATAATTAGGTTTTTTAAATGATGGTTCCTTATCATATGAATTTGTTATTCAACTGAATTTACTATTGAAATAAACAGGGAATCAAGCTCGTCCTAAAATATTTGATCTTTCCATCCGCAAGCCTGATGTTTTGTATCAACAAGTTGTTGAAGTGGATGAACGGTATTATAATTTATTTTAATCATTATAATTATTGTGTCATTACAAAAACATACTTATTTTTATCTAATAATTTTCTCCTGTAATAATAGTGTAGCCTTGGTTGGAGATGAATCACAGTCACCAGCTGAGATAACAGATGATATAGTTAAAGGACTTTCCGGGGAATATGTAAAGATACTTCAAAAACCAGGTAAACATGATGATATATAATCTTTACACGTGAACTATCCATTTTTCATGCTATAAAATGCAAAGCATATCTTATAATTCAATTTAGACACAAACAAGATAAAGAACGATCTACAATCTTTATATGAAGAAGGATTTCGAAGTGTTGCGATATGCTTAATGCATTCTTACACATTTTCAGGTGGGCATAAGTTTTATTTTCTATTTTAAAATTTAATATATTAATATTATATTTTATTATGTTGTGAAAAAAAGAACATGAACAATTATTGGGTTCAATTGCGTCCGCAGTTGGATTTACACATATTTCTCTTTCCTCCGCTATAATGCCAATGATTAAAATTGTACCTCGCGGTACATCATCAACAGCCGATGCTTATTTAACTCCATGCATTCATAAATACATTGATGGGTTTATTTCTGGATTCGATGAAAATTTAGAAAAAAATACAAGACTAGAATTTATGCAAAGTGATGGTGGTCTTGTACCAGTTAATAAATTTTCTGGGTTTAGAGCCATATTGTCAGGACCTGCTGGTGGCGTTGTTGGTTAGTGTTCTATTATATAAATATTGTCTATTTTGATGCACTATATTTATTAATTGTGAATTTGTGGCTAGGCTATGCGTCAACATCGTACAGTGAGAATGGGCGTGACCCGGTGATCGGTTTCGATATGGGAGGTACTAGCACAGGTTTGCATTTTATATTTATACTAAGGCAAAAAACATTTTGATCCTTTTTTCGAAATAAATATGATATAAATATTCAAAATTTAGACGTATCTCGATTTAATGGTTTATATGAACATGTTTTCGAAACGACTACTGCGGGAGTAACCGTTCAAGCACCTCAACTTGATATAAACACGGTAAAATTTCCGCAAGTTCATTTTATCTTTTCATTAAGGAATAAGCAAATTTACGAAATATCTTTACAGGTTGCTGCTGGGGGCGGCTCGCAATTATTCTTTCGTAATGGATTGTTTGTTGTTGGACCAGAGGTACTGTTCATTCGCATAGTTAAATAGTGATTGAGAGCTTCGATACGATCATTCGGTTCGAACATTGAACCTAAATTTCGGTCAATATACGTTCAGTTAGAGGTTGGGCCACCCAAATTAAAAATTTATTGAGGGATCCAACCGAAGCTCTATGTAATTACCGTATTATCGCGAAATGACGCTCCGGGGGCATTATTTTGAGACATGAAAACACCGATAGATACTATAATTTTATTTATCACCACAGATCAGAGTATGGTGATAAATAAAATTATAGTATCTATCGGTGTTTTCATGTCTCAAAATAACGCCCCGGACGTTATTTCGTAAATATCTTAATATAACTTTTTTGATTTAATTATTTTTTATTTGGCATTTATAGAGCGCTGGTGCACACCCAGGACCTACATGTTATAGGTGCGTTAATGTTTGCATATTCTGACTAAATTTTATATGTATTAGCGTCTCTAAAAGATATTACTTTTTTTTATACAGAAAAAACGGCCCTTTAACTATAACTGACGCAAATCTAATACTAGGTCGATTAAACATAGATTATTTTCCAAAAATATTTGGCCCTTCCGAGAATAAACCATTGGATGTGGAAGCTACTCGTCTCAAATTTCAATTGCTTGCCGAAGAGATTAATGCTTTTGTAGGAAAAGACAAAAAAATGAGTTTGGATGAGATAGCATATGGGTAAGTTTTCAATATAATTTGAGTTTCGGGCCAAGTAACTATTCAAATTAACCAACTTTCTTATTCTTTAAATAACTAGATTTATTAAAGTTGCCAATGAAGCAATGTGTCGTCCCATTCGTTCCTTAACTGAAGCAAAGGGTTACGATACTTCAAAACATATTCTCGCATGCTTTGGCGGTGCCGGCGGACAACATGCGTGTGCAATTGCACAAAATTTGGGGATCAAGAAAATCCTAATTCATAGATATAGTTCTATATTGTCAGCATACGGTTTAGCGTTGGCTGACGTTGTTCATGAAATTCAAGAGCCTTGCTCGAAAATTTATTCAGACGATTCGTTACCATATTTAATGGAAAAAATCCATGCTCTTTGCGAAGCATGCACCAAAGAGCTTAAGTCACAAGGGTTTGACGAATCATGTATTCAGCATGAAATTTTTCTTAATTTAAGATATGAGGGGACTGATTTCGCATTTATGACCTTAAAGCCCAAGGATTCTTGGGATTTCATTTCAAATTTTGTTGTGCAGTATAAACAAGAATTTGGATTCAGTTTCCCGGATCGAAAAATTTTGGTAGACGATATAAGAATCCGTGGCATAGGCAAAGGCTTTAAAATAACTCAACATGATGTATTTGATGAAATAAAAAATATCAGTCCTACGTCCGTATCAAATGATCAGCATGACAAAACGGTGCCCGTTTATTTTGAAAACGGACGTTTAGAAACTCCTATTTATCTCTTAGAGAAACTTAAAATTGGAAATACGATTGTTGGACCAGCTATGATTATTGACTCGACTTCAACGATTCTTGTTACTCCGGGATGCAGTGCTTTGATTACAACCTCGCAAGTTTTTATTACTGTTGGGGATGGCATTAGAACAAAAGTTACTACTGAGTCGGATCCGATTCAATTATCTATATTTGGCCATCGATTCATGAGCATTGCTGAACAAATGGGAAATACTTTACAAAAGACCTCTATTTCAACAAATATTAAAGAGCGATTGGATTTTTCTTGTGCTCTTTTTGGAGCTGATGGAGGATTAGTCGCTAACGGTATGTCAACACACAGATATTGAATTAATAAAAATGCATATATTATTGACATTTATATTGATATTTTTCTTTTCAGCTCCACACATTCCAGTTCATTTAGGGAGCTTAAGTCACGCGGTTAAATATCAAATGGAATATTACAATGGTGCATTAGAAGACGGTGATGTAATTATGTCCAACCACCCGCAAGCTGGTGGATCACATCTGCCAGGCAATTATGATTTCAAATTATCATACTATATTATTTATAAATAATGATCATTAACTCGTTAGTTTTTGCTTATAAATAATGATGATTGTTTTTTTGCTTATAGATATTACTGTAATAACTCCAGTATTCAATGAAGGAAAAATTGTATTCTTTGTGGCGTCAAGAGGTCACCATGCAGATATTGGTGGTATTTCACCTGGTATGAAAATATTCATCAAACTCTATTACGAAATTTCAAATAATATAGTCTAAGACGCGTTGTTTCTTAATATCTAGGTTCTATGCCACCACATTCAAAAGAATTATTTGAAGAAGGTGCTGCTATTAAATCATTTAAACTCGTCTCAAAGGGAAATTTTGATGTCGATGGCTTTACCAATATCTTACTGCATGAACCTGCTCGGTATCCAAAATGTTCCGGGACAAGATGTCTTCGTGACAACATTTCAGATATTAAAGCTCAAGTAGCCGCAAATCACAAAGGTATTAACCTTGTGAAAACACTAATCCAAGAATATGGACTGGATGTAGTTCAAGCTTATATGATGCATATTAGAAAGAATGCTGAATTATCGGTTAGGAACCTCTTAAAGAAAGTCGAGCAACGATTAGGAAAAAATATTTTAAAAGCAGTCGATTATATGGATGATGGAACTCCTATTGAATTGCAAATAACTATTGACGAGAAAGATGGGTCAGCCATATTTGATTTTACTGGCACTGGTCCTGAGGTTTTTGGTAAGAATATACTGTATAATCATTTTTTCTTTAATTATTAACATATCTAATATCTTACATGTTTATCTCTTTTCTCTTAATTTCAGCAAA